AGAGAGAGAGAGAGAGAGAGAGAGAGAGAGAGAGAGAGAGACAGAGAGAGGGAGAGAGAGAGACCCAGAAAGGGAGAGAGTAAATGGGTGAGAGAAAGAGAGAGACAGAGAGAGGGGGGGAGAGGGGAAAAAAGAGACAGAGACAGAGAAAAAAAGAGAGGTGGGATGTTCAATAGATACAAATAAATCAATAACACGATTGTCCGCTTCTTTCCCCTAAATTATTAAACTACTTAATCTAAATCAAATTACCGTAGGCGTACATTCAGTGCACACTGCCCATTTGATTCATCATCTGAAAACTTTCAGGGGATTTGCTCAAATTGTGAGACGGTGCTCAAATCGTAACTTTTGTCTATCTAGGCAGAAAATTCCTTGTAGGCCCTGACTGAATTTTTAAAATGTACAACCTTTTTGTTAATATTTTCCTTAACCATCAAGTTTTAGGTTTCAAATTTGTACACAACATTTGGATTTTTTAATAAATCTACTTAATAGTTTTGCTCTATGAAGCGCGAGAAAAAAGCAACCCATTTTCAGCTATGCCCCCATTTTTGTAGTATGACGCACTAGTTCGCATTAGGCCTATCACTAAAAATTAGGTGCGGTTCGTCCATAGAGCACGGTCGTGCAGTGCCGCCCAATATTTTTTAATGTTCTATTACGTAAAACACATACAATAATAAAATAAAAGAAGTCAGAAACAAACACTCGCCAAGTATTACATCAAAAGAAGGTCCTCACTGGCGCAATAACTGTCATTTCTGTGTCTATAGCGCTGTAAAACATCTACTATGCCATGCCAAAGTCCACACGCTTTAGCAAAACATAATAGGATACAGTGGAACTTGGATTTAACGAGCTCAGATTCAACGAGAACTCGGATTCAACGAGAGGAGATGGATTCCCCGTTTTTTTCCTTCTGTAAAATCAACAACAATAATCTGGATTCAACGAGAACTTAAATCAGCAAGCTCGGATTCAACGAGGTCGCTTCAAGTGTGAACACCCCCCTCAGACGCGGCTTCGCTCATTTTTCTCTCACAACGAACTTTATCTCTTCCCGGAAACCATCCATTGCACCTGCATCGTGAACCATTGTTGACTTAGTCGATTGGATGCGACCAATAAGCGGCCTTCTTTCATACCAACACGTGCGTTGTAGCTGTTGGCACGCGCACGTGTCTACTCTGGCGTGTGTCGGGGCCGGATGGGCGGCCTGCACACGTGTGACGGTGTGAGCGTGTCGGGGGG